GGGTAATTTAAGGAAATTCTGCAGGGGGTTCAATTGTTTAGCTTGATAGCTACATAGAATTCTGAGGGGGGGGTAATTTAAGGAAATTCTGAAGGGGGTTAAAAAATTTCTTTTCTGGAGGGGTGTCACAGGAAAGCCTTCAATAGGGGGGGGGGTGCGGATTTTAAATGGAATGGCCCAATAAGACACAGGTACAGGTTTAGCACCACACACAAAATCCACTTATATAGGCATTCTTTAAGTTATCTGGCATTCTTTAAGTTATACCCTGCAATTTTATGACAAGTAGCTCACCTGACAGCATAGCTGCAAAGGGCATATTGTTAGTGAGAAAAGGTCTCCGAAATTTGTGAATACACCGAATGCAAATATGGCGGGCAACTCGGATGGTCTAAGACTAGTAGCGTGGAAGCGAGGCTAGTCAGTCCTCTGACGCTTTGTTTTGACTTCGCGTCCTTTTCACTGTGCTTTTGTGTAATCATTTCGCGATGCCTTCGTTCTGCTGCGTACGCAAATGCAATCAGAAAGGTTACACATCGTCATTAGGAGAAAAGGTTTCTTTCTTTAACTTTCCTAACGCGCCTTTGATAAGAAAATAGTGGATACACGCAATCCGTCGAGAGGAAGGCAAAGACTTTGTCATAACAGAGCGTACGAAAGTCTCTGTTCACTACATTTCAGGTCAGAAGACCTTAGGAAGTCTATCAACTGATGGATTTATGTCAAGGAAGACGGTGTTCCTTCAAAATTTGACTAGTCAGGACTTCTCCTGACTAGTCAAAAAAGAAAGGCCCCGACTGAACAGCAAGTGCTGCCTGCGAAGAAAAAACTGCTCACCGAAGACAACTCTCATTGCTCTGATCAGTCTGCGTCTGTAAACCATGAAGTGCAAGAAACCGTCGAGATGTCTGCCTTTGAGCCAAGTACAAGGTTCGAAGAAGATACATGCAAAATCCCAGATTTAGAAAGGCAAATTGCCGAACAAAGCACAAAGATCAAGGTGAACTAGAAGAGAAATTGAAGCTTGCAGAAAGTGAAATAAACAACCTTTGTCGCGAAAACATCAAATTGACTGAGAAATTGACAGAGTTTATTTTGTGTCGATTGTTTCATGTCCATTTTCGAGTATTTAAATCCTGGAGACAGTTGTACAAACATTCGCCCAGTGGCAGTGACAGATGTCCCTGAAGACTTTTATAATTCCGACTGACGATGAGGGAAACGTCTTCAGGCTGCAAAGAAAGGTCGTCGCCGAAAGCTCAAGCCACTAGATGAATTTTTTATTGTGCTTGGTCGTCTGAGCTGAGAGGAGGGTTCTCAGAAATACATTTGGCTCATCTTTATGGTGTGGCTCAGTCTACTGTGAGTTGAATTTTTGTACCATGGATAAATTAAATGAACTTGAAATTTGGTAAGATATGCATTTGGCCATCAAAGGAAGTTGTGCAGGCAATCATGCCAGCTGATTTTAAAGAGAAATTCCCAACTATGACTGTATGGAGGTGTGCTGTGAGATGCCAGCAGTTTGCTGCTCAATTCTGAGTTATTCAGCTCCTATAAAAATCATGTAACACTCAAAGAACTTGTGGGCATTGCCCCAAGTGGTGCAATTACCTTTATTAGCCAGCTTTACAATGGTAGTATCTCATATTGGGAAATTGTTATTCGAAGTGGTTTCATTTCACAGAAATTTGAGAATGGCGACACTGTTATGGCCGACAAAGGATTTCAAATTGCAGACATTTTGCCACTTGGAGTAAAACTGAATATTCTGCTTTTCCTCTGGGCAAACACTCAAATGTCTGCTGAAGATGTTGTACAAACGCAACAAATTGCTCGGTTAAAAATCCATGTGAAGAGAGCAATTAACAAGATAAAGAATTTCCTTATCTGGAAGGGAGAAATACCATTAAGTTTATTCTCAGTAGTTAACCAGATGTGGAGTGTGAGTGCATTTTTGTGCAATACATAAGATCCACTCATTTCAGAATAGTTTGTATATTTCCAGGGAAGGGGCTGCGATATGAAACAGACAGGGATGCTTTTCATATTGTTAATTTAGGGGTCTTAGCTTCAGATTTTGGGCCTTGCTTAGGACATTCAGGGAAAAACACCATCTTTTATGCCTGTCAAGGCCTTGTTTGGACTTGGGTGTTTTGGCATCTTTTATAGATCACAAAAGCTTAAGCCACTCGGTCTCCTTCAGAGATCTCATTCAAAATTTTTAATAAGCATTCCATCTGTTTCATATAGGAGTACTACTTAACTACTGATAAAATTTTTAAGGCTCCCTTGTTGCCTGTGAAAGAAAATGAGTAAAATAATATGACTTTAATGTTCCTTTTAAGGTTTTCCAATATTCATCATCAAAGGGAATACGTTGAATGCTCATACTCTTACTTGTGTAAACCACAAAGACACACCATCTTGCGCCTGTAACTCCCAATAGTCCCTGCACTTGGGAATAGTACTTGTGATTCTACTTGTGTTTCAGTTCACCATTCTGATTTTCCAGAAAAAAGTTGCTATCAGAACAAGCATCCAGGGGTGTGACCAGAAATTTTGTTTTGGGACACTTGACCTCCGAAAGGTCAAAGGGAATTAAACAGCCACTGTCAATGACTTTGCCATCAGGTGAACCACCCAAATATGGTGCATCTATGCTCACCACCAGTCCTGACTTCAGGACATTTAAAGGGCGACAAATGGAATGCATGCATGTATTTTTGGTACTGCTCCAGGGCAACTGGTTCTTATTTAATACCATGGTTAGTGTACCTTGATGAAAAGGGCTTGGGGTGTAGCAGGCTGTTTACAAAACTCTCATGATTCCTTTTCCTTGCACTGGTTAAAGGAGAACTGAAGCCTAAAATTGGTAGATTGTTTGCATTCATTTCTAGTTAGCTTTAGAGGAAAGTGTCGATATTCATTTTCATTCACTTCTTGTTTTTTACAAGAAAATTCAATTTGAAGTTGCCTTTTTCCCGCTTTTGGGGCTGTAAGACCATCAGCTCAAAATAGGTCAGCAGCGGTTGTCTATAATGTCAGTGGTGGGGAACCAACTTAAGAAAAATAACTGTTACTATTTCATTTTGTAGTTAATCCCCTTTACAAGTCAAGCAACTTCCATAACTCCATAACCAAACCAAATTTCTGTAGGAAGAGTACAAGTTTATTATCTTTCTTCCCTACCAGTGATGTAAGAGCGAGCTAAAATGACCACTGACATCGCTTTTCTGAGCCACCGTACTACAAGGCCAAAATACCACTTTAAACTATTTTTCCGAGGCGAAGTTGGGCCCAAAGACTGAAAAAACCCTTGAACATTGCTATTTGAACTATAAGCTGCAATTTAAAAATGGTTCATTTTTAGGGTTCAGTTCCCCTTTAAGTTTGAGGCTGTAAATCTGAACTTTCTTTCCTGCTTCCGCTCTTCACAATTAGACTGCCCTTGTGTTTTGGCCTCAATGTCATTGATTTTCTCTTCATCAACACTAAGCTTTTCCAGTAAAGCTTTATCGACTGCTGCTATTTCATTCGGCACCACAAACTCCTCTGTTGCTGTATTGAGTGGGAATCTTGGATAAGCATTAATTGGAATATTGTGAGTGTGGCCTGGGTCAACCCTGGGTACAGAAGAAATGTTGCAGTACACTTTGAAATTATCTTCTGTAGTGGCCAGCTGATAGCTTGCATAGGAACCCTGAGGGCTTTTGCCAAATTTGGTTTCTAACGATCGTGTACTTTCAGAAAAAGGTTCCATTGTTTGTGCCAATGCCATTTTAGGATTTTCTGCTTTCAACCTTTCACACAACCTCTGCTCATCTGCCCTTTGACTCCTCATACTTTGAATTGTCCTGGCTGCATATAATAGGCACCTCACCCCAGGTTCTCTTCATGAAGATCTGTCCAAGTCTTGTTAAGTTTTGTGAACAACAACCTCCATAGCTGGTTGTGGAACTATGGTGTCCCCTACACCCTTTCAATGCCACTGCTGCAACATAGATGTACAAGCTTGTTTTGGCTGTACATCCTCATTTTCTAAGTCACTGACACTTGCATTCATACAAGGTGAACCTGCAGACTTTTATCATAAAGGCTAGCACATGGTTACAAAAGCCAACTGCACCAGCCACACAGGTACAGTATGCATTTTTTACCTTTCAGCTTATAATGCACAGAGCTACTTTTAAGTTATGAGGCAGATCATTCTTTCTAAAACTGTGGTGACACTGTGCCTTGAAATAAAAATAGCTCTCATCACTTGCTGCAAAAATTTCTTTCAAGTACTCGTCTTGAAGGAACGTGGTTGCTTTTCTAACACTCGTTGGAACAGAGTGTGTGCTAGTGTTGGAGCTAATATTTTTCCCCGACTTTGAAATATGTTGATTCATTTGTGTGCGAGTGAAGAAAGGCATTTTGGTGAGGTTGATAGACCAGCCATCCGATGGATACTTCAGTTTTGATTCACCGGAAACACTCACATCAACATCTTTGCTCGCCGCCTCCTCGCGTTCTTTTCTTCTCGTGTAGATGCGATTCCGATCTGGATCGACAATGTTCTGATCATGGCCAGAATTTGAGCATCAAAGCCAGATGCAAACTCAACATGGGCCAAGTCTGCACAGTTCGAATGACACGACATTTTGCCTTACTTTTTCACTAATATTGCCTTTGTTTTCAAGCCTTTCAATGAATCTCCACGGCATCTTAACCAGAACCGAAGTCCTTCGTGTTTTAAACTCACAGGTTCTCTTCCAGCTAGTGAAGAGCCGGGAATATCGTCCTCCGTTGAAGCACTTGCAGCCACTCGTGACGATCAAAACAAACAGGGTGTAGCGAAAGCCGAAACCGTGTACCTCCCTGTTAGAACGAAATGTGTTACTTTCGTTACCACCCCCCTCGGGGTGTGTGTAATAAAGACAACATGGCCGCTTGTTGTGTTCGATCAGTACGTTAGAAATTAAGTGCCTGCGGACCCGAAAATGGACTTATCACAAGGGGAAAGCCACGCTGAGTACTGACTAGCCTCACTTCCACGCTTCTAGTCCCGGGCAGTCCGAGTGGTCCGCCATATTTGCATTCGGTGTATGGCATTGTGTAAAATAAAGGATACTAAACACAACAGCCTGCATTTGGCTAAAAATTATCCATGGATGTTTGTAGTGAAATGCCTTGGGATGTTTGTTTTGACTTGTGCAAAAGTAGTATAAAGGGTAATTTGTATAAAGTCAAGAAATACTTGCTTTAACCTGCTCCAAATGACACAGCATGCGCACTGGTGAAGAGCAAACACGCTTCAATTCGCGACTCCCTCTATAAAATTAGCATACTGAAGTGCCCAATGCATTGTGGTTAGAATGGTATCAAAACAAAAAAACATGGCTGACCATCTCCCGCGAAGTTCTTCGTTGGATTCTTTGAACGATGTCCCTTCTGAACCTAACTCTCCTAAGAGCTCTAGAGCGTTACAAAAAGAGCCGATTGTACACTCAGAGAATGATGCTCATTCAGGCAGCCAAAACGATGGGAATAGCACCACAAGGGAACCGCTTCGGGAGATGAACAATAATTACATCAGTCCTGATTGTAGTACAGATATCGCGTGGAGTAAAAGTCTGAAATGCATTCCGCCATTCGGAGAAAAACAAATCGACAATCGACTAATCCACAATTCGAAGACCATGCCTGACTTAAAAGCGCCATTAGCGTACAGACAAAAAACAAGGCTACAAACTCTGGACGGAAGGGTATGTTCGAAAAGTTGTTACTAAACTTGACATTGTCTCTGGGGTTACACGGCTTTTTCTGGTTAAAGCTAATGTTTCTGCTTCTATGAAGCAACAGAACTATTTGGTCTACTGTCATCTAGTCCAGCTATCTGGTGAAGTAGCTTTCAGTAAATGCAACTGCAAATCTGGTCAAGGTGGTTGCTGTGAACACGTTGCCGCACTGTTGTATCTTTTGCTTGACTACAAAAATCTCGAACTAAAGGAAGTCCCAGATGATGTGACTTGCACTCAAGTACTCTAGCAGTGGAGTATTCCATCCAATGCTGGTATGACAAAAGCAGTCAAGTTTGAAGAACTGACTTTTGAGCAAGCTGATTATGCTAGAGACAAAGAAAACCAAAGTAAGCGTCCACTGGTCCAAGAAAAACGGGAAAATTATTGTTCTACTCCACCATATGCAAAGAAGGTACTAGATATTTTATGGTATTTATTGTTTTGTGGAAAATAGTGATTATAATGTTGGCATTGCTAAAGGTGTTTTGTTTCATTTATATATTGCTTATGTCTTTCTGATGGTGCTTCATTGGTATAATTGAATAATCTTTCTATACTTTAGGTTAAAAGTGAAGAAATAAAAGCTTTATATACATCTTTACAAAAAAATGGTAAAGCTCAATTGTTATGCGCAACTTTGATTGGTAATAACTTTGAACCAAACAAGACTTTTGAAACAAGCTGTGCAGTTCAAAAGAAGAACCAAGAAAAAGAAGAAATGGTGGGATATTAAGAGGAACTTTCTTTGGCAGCACATCCTCGATGTCAAATCCCTTATCCACCATAATGCTGTCACCCTCTTCAAGTAAAGAAAGTATTCCACAATGTTTAGTAGCCTTCTTATCACTTGTTCTTCCTGAATATAGGTCAGAAACAAATGTTATCATTCCAGATGGTACAATGCCTACTAATTCCTTAGCAGTGTTATGGTATTTGTAATTGGAGTATGCGTTGTTCTGTGATCTTAGAGAGCTTGCCATTTCTATAATAAGTTTGGTGCAATCTATTTTAACTCTTGTTTGAGGGCAGGAATCCTTAAAGCCCTGAGGCATTGTCTCATTCACAACTGTCCTTGTGGGCCATATAGGATGACTTCTAAATCTTGTGTGTAAAAAATCATGCCAAGTTATACAGATTCTAGAAACATGGGATGGAGAAATTCCAACTCTACAAGCTAAATCTTCCTCTAGTAAACCATATCTTAAGCTTGCCAGAACCACCAAAAAATTCCTGTTCTGCAGTAAGAGTCCTTTTCCTTCCCCGTTTTATCTGATCAGGGCTTGTTAGTCTCTCTGAGTTGGTGTTAGAGTCATGATAAATCATATTTTCTACTACAGGACCAAAAGATTAAATAATACACCTAAAGAGAGTGTAGTCTTCAAGTCCAGTGTAAAATTTAAACAGATGAGCATCATCTTTAAATCTTTCTATTGTAAATGATTTCTTGAAGACTTGATTCTCTAGATCCTTAATTTCACTCTCATAATGTTCCTTCAGAGAGACCATTTTGTTTTCTAATTCCACTATTCGTAGACTTAATTCTTCTATTTTCTCCTGGCAATCTTCATGTTCATCTACTTCTACGGTATATTCAACATTGCTGCTTTCACTGAAGTGAAGAAGTTCAGTCGATTCGAGACCAATGATTTTACAGCTAGCTTGAGAAAAATCCGTGTTTGAGTGAAAAGTTTCACGATTCCTTTCACGTTGAGTCGGATGGGGCTTTGAGACCGTTAAGTGGACATTTTTTGGTACAATAGTTGGAATATTATTGTTGTATGTTTTGGCGCCACCTGGAAAATGGGCTGAACAAACACGATGATGAGGGCCCGGTTTAAAGTTTTTTCGACTTACCAAGACAATCCATTTTTTTCTTAATTGCTGTTTTTCTTTACTTTGACCTTGGGAAAATCTATAGAAGTGTAGATCTTTATTTTTCATGTTGTTGTTGTAGCATCCTGGAAGACAGCACGTGTACCCACCTCGTGTCTTCAGGTTTTGTCCCTTAAAACCATCTGATGGCGATGTTCTATCTTCAACATCGTCCACATGTTCTGAAGGTGGCTTATTTGGCTCTTTCTGAACCGTTCTAGAGCGCTTAAGAGAACTAAGTTCAGAAAAGACATCGGTAAAAGTATTCGACGAACTTAGTGGAATATTGTCATCCATTTTTTGGGTTTTGATACCACTCTAACCACAATGCATTGGGAACTTCAGTATGCTAATTTCATACAGGGAGTCGCGAATTCCGATATCGTGTTGTAGCACTTTACACATGCATGAAATGCGTGTAAAATCCGTGTATGTATGCCCTCGTATCATTGATACTTAACTCCCACTCGAGAGACATCAGTTAAACAAAAGATTCACGAAAACTTGAAGCGCAGTCACAGTCATCTCACTGGCGAAACAAAAAAGATCCGTAGCGTTGATACAGATTCAAGTGGCGATCGTGATAAATTTCACACTTCACAGTCGAAAATTTTAAGCTCCCTTTTAATTCTAAGCTGAAACGTACGCTTGCCATTGACCACTTTCATAAATGGCTGCCGGATTAATATTCTTTTGTTTAAATTTAAATTAGCCTTTCTGGCCTCGTTCTCCAGTACAAAATTCAAAAGAATACATTATCTCACGGGATTCGAACAGGCCTGATTTTTTTCAGGTCTGATTTTCGCTATTGCATAAATAGCGCTCTCTACTGCGAGGATCGTGCATCATGCGTATCTAATACCGCAGTTCAAAATATATGAACTTCATATATTCATTGTATCTGATTTATCATCACGGGTTTATTACGAATCAACTTAACGGCCTGCTCCCAGTTGGCTTGTTAGCTCAATTGGTAGAGCGCTGCACTAGTATCGCAGAGGTCAGTGGTTCGAATCCCGTACAGGCCTGATTTTTTTCAGGTCTGATTTTCGCTATTGCATAAATAGCGCTCTCTACTGCGAGGATCGTGCATCATACGTATCTAATACCGCAGTTCAAAATATATGAACTTCATATATTCATTGTATCTGATTTATCATCACGGGTTTATTACGAATCAACTTAACGGCCTGCTCCCAGTTGGCTTGTTAGCTCAATTGGTAGAGCGCTGCACTAGTATCGCAGAGGTCAGTGGTTCGAATCCCGTACAGGCCTGATTTTTTTCAGGTCTGATTTTCGCTATTGCATAAATAGCGCTCTCTACTGCGAGGATCGTGCATCATGCGTATCTAATACCGCAGTTCAAAATATATGAACTTCATATATTCATTGTATCTGATTTATCATCACGGGTTTATTACGAATCAACTTAACGGCCTGCTCCCAGTTGGCTTGTTAGCTCAATTGGTAGAGCGCTGCACTAGTATCGCAGAGGTCAGTGGTTCGAATCCCGTACAGGCCTGATTTTTTTCAGGTCTGATTTTCGCTATTGCATAAATAGCGCTCTCTACTGCGAGGATCGTGCATCATACGTATCTAATACCGCAGTTCAAAATATATGAACTTCATATATTCATTGTATCTGATTTATCATCACGGGTTTATTACGAATCAACTTAACGGCCTGCTCCCAGTTGGCTTGTTAGCTCAATTGGTAGAGCGCTGCACTAGTATCGCAGAGGTCAGTGGTTCGAATCCCGTACAGGCCTGATTTTTTTCAGGTCTGATTTTCGCTATTGCATAAATAGCGCTCTCTACTGCGAGGATCGTGCATCATACGTATCTAATACCGCAGTTCAAAATATATGAACTTCATATATTCATTGTATCTGATTTATCATCACGGGTTTATTACGAATCAACTTAACGGCCTGCTCCCAGTTGGCTTGTTAGCTCAATTGGTAGAGCGCTGCACTAGTATCGCAGAGGTCAGTGGTTCGAATCCCGTACAGGCCTGATTTTTTTCAGGTCTGATTTTCGCTATTGCATAAATAGCGCTCTCTACTGCGAGGATCGTGCATCATACGTATCTATAACCGCAGTTCAAAATATATGAACTTCATATATTCACCGTATCAGACGATAGATACTTGAAGAAACCAGATGAGGGTATGAAAAGCCGGTTCTCTATCACGATTGCAAATATTTAGTCGAATAATATTACGCACACGGTAAGCTTTCCTTTTCTGTA